GTTACGAATCCATCTGGTGATGCTGTGCAACTCACATTCTTCTACTTTATCTAGTAGTAAGTTATGGTCTACCTTATCAAATGCCTTACTGAAAGCCAAGTAAACTATATCGACGACATTCGTCTGGTCCACTAATTTTGTCACTTTGTCAAAGAATGCAATAAGATTAGTCTGGCATGATCTGTTTTGACAAACCCAAAATTTTATCATCAAGATTGCTCTGGAGCCAAATAAAACTATTTTTATGCCAAAAGACAGCCTGGGCTACTTTGACAGACAGAATCTAGGAGCATCTGCATAAAAGGCCCCTTTCTTTTGTTACTATCAACTATGGCTGTGATAGTGGAGAAACCAAAGTCTTGATGGCAGGAAAACATTATTTTTCCAAACACAGAAATGTTGGAGCTAATAACCAGCACTCTGAATTGAGAGAGAGTCATGGTGGCACAGTGGGTAGAATGCAGTCTAACTCAGTGCTCACTCCAGGAGTTCAATTCTGAGATTGACTCAGCCTTCCATCCTTCCGAGGTTGGTAAATGAGACTCAGATTGTTGTGGTTGGAGGAGGGGGCAATATGCTAACTCTGTAAACCGCTTAGAGAGGGCTGTAAAGCACTATGAAGCGGAATATAAGTCTAAGTGCTATTGCTATCACTATCCTGGAGACTAATAATCAGTAAAGTTATTGTAACATAACAGTCACTTTCTGGGGCTAGTTAATAATGTAGCCACATTTTGAATCAGCTGTAAATTCTGAAAACTTTTCAAAGAGTGTAAAAATTCTACTTGCTGAAATAAAATCTCATATCCCTACCATGTTTTTTCAAAATGACCAGGAATTGAAATTGTTGAAACTAATGATGGTTTAAAAACAATAACTGATTGCCATGCATTTGGAAGTCATTTAGGGAAAAAATACATCTGAACATCATTACCTTATGTTTTGTCATTGCACCAACAATGAGAGGGCAGACCATTCCGGACAATGTCCCAACTCCGTTAGAGATGCCCATGAGAATGCTGGCATACCGAGGTGCAATATCCAAATGGTTGACGTTAAATCCTGTAATACAAAATATTATATCAACAGGATGCATTCTGTCATCACGAGAATGATTCAAGCAACTGAAAATGTAAGTGCTTATTTTATGCCGATCCTTCTTGATCATGAATGTACAGACTAAGTGCCCAAGACTTCACTGTGCACTGGAATTTGATTTAGTCCCTGAGAATTTCAAACATGGTTACCAAATAAGGCATAAGAAAAAAGGGATTAAATACATAAAGGCTAATTGCAGAGGTGGGTTGCTCCTGGTTTGGCCCAGTTTGGCCGAGCTGGTAGTGGTGGCAGTGGGAGGCTCTGCCCATCTGGATGCTTCTGTGCATGCGAGCTCCTGCACGAGCATGAGCGATCCAGGAGTAAACCGGTTAGCAACCTACCATTGGCTAATTGTCTTAATTAGATTTAATTTAATGTCAATGTAAAATTAATTAAAGATATTTTAGTTTGGGTCTAAGCCTCAGTTTATTTTTTGAAGTGTGGACTCTGCGCATAGCTGTGGTTTCTCAAAGAAGGGAAATAATAAATAAGGCATAGAAAAATATTATTTTGAAAATAAGACACTGAAAATATCATAACCTATCATATTTCATAAACAATTCAAAGGTTTTAACAGCTAAGATGAAATTATATTACTGATTTTGAATATTTTAAATACATAAATAATAAAACAAATGTTTAAGTAGTCAATCATTTACTACAGCATAATTGTGCTTCTTTTTAATTTTTATGAAGTAAAAGTTTCATTATGAATTAATCAGTTTAAAAAGCCATTTAAGAATGTCAGAATAGCCTTTAATTAAAATTAAAAGTCAAGAGCTAAGATGATGGGCAGCCTAGGGATGATAATATATAAACAATAAATTCCAATAATAATCTTACTGATACTAAAATATTTCTACAATGTGTTCAACAATTTTTTTTACCTGAAATAGCAAATCCACTAAAGCCTACTGCTAAAACCAAGAATGAAATAGCCACACCTCTTGTGTGAGAATATCCAACCACCAAAAGTAAAGTAGCTTCCATCCCAAAACCTGCAACAAAAATGTATGGAGAAGATTATTAATTCTTCAAAATACACCGCTTCAAGAAGTATTAAAACAATTATTTATTTTAGATGTGGTTTTTATTTTTTTCTTTAAAATTAGCTCCAGGCCCTAATCGCATACAAATTGGTTTTTAGTTTTCTCTGCTTTTTATAAAAACATCATGTCTCTCGTTCTCTGCTCTCTGTCTCTCTCTTTCTCTGTGCATGTGTGCACATGTAGGTATTCATGGGCATTGTCATTCTTGCATACATTCTTTGATATTTATAAACTGCTTAGATTTTGTAAGATTAAACCAACATAAAAGTCACAATACTTCCTTCCTTCCTTCCCTCTCTCCTTTCTTGCAGCCCCAACATATTATTTCAGAAGGAATGAAACTTTTAGCAAAAAAAGCTGTCCCTCTGTCCTTGTATATTTTGATAATTCAATCCTCCCTTTCAATGTACGATATGCAAAATGCTTGAGATTTTGCATTGAATTTTAAAATCAACAAATCAGTCTGATGCTTAGGTAGTAACATATAAATCACATATAAGATCTAAGCATACCTCCACAGTTCATGATTTTTCTGACAGCAGTAGTTGTTAAAATTCTGCTGCTGCGCAAGAAGTCAGCTAGTTGGCCTCCAATGGGTACAATAACAGTCATTACCATGTGCGGAACTGCAGACAAAAGGCCAACCTGGAAGTAAATATATACAATGGAAATCATGTGACCAAAAGAAATATGTTTTTTCTCTCAATGTTAGAAGTTAATTGAATATTTGAGGAGCACATCATTCTTTAGCATAGGTGAATTTAGTATATTTTACATTAGAGAATTGAGCTGACAAATTTCCATTTGTCATCAGCCACTACAATTTACGGTGACATCTACCATAAAAGGAATTGTCAAAGTGATTGTTGAAAAAATAATAATAAAGGCTGATCAATGGAAACAGCAGGCAAAGGAGTGTAGCTCAGAAATCCTAACTAGCTACAATGCCCTCCTCTGTCTCAGATATGGTTTGTCATCAACAAAGTAAATCTTAATTTTTCAACACAATTAACAGGTTTATCTGAACATTTGCTATAGATAAAAACTAATGTCAAATATTATACAGGTCTGCAGTTTGAGACTCAGTACTTAAATACCAACAGTTCAATTAAAAATGCACAGTGTTTGTATACATATACAATATGCTATATGTTGGTAAGGTAAAGGTAAAGATAAAGGTTTTCCTCACACATATGTGCTAGTCATTCCCAACTCTAGGGTTCCCAACTTTAGTCATGTGGCCAGCATATCTAAACACCAAAGGCACATGGAACGCTGTTACCGTCCCACCAAAGGTGGCCCCAATTTTTCTACTTGCATTTTTACATGCTTTTGAACTGCTAGGTTGGCAGAAGGTGGGACAAGTAATGAGACCTCACTCCATTATGCAGCGCTAGGGATTCGAACTGCCGAATTGCTGACCTTTCTGATTTACAAGCTCAGAAAACTCTTAGCCACTGAGCCACCACGTCCATTTAATATGTTGGTAACAAACATCTAAAGAATTTAAGGACTGCCTCCAAAGATGGCTTTTAAATTATTGTTATGGAATGTACAAGTCATTGGATAACAAAAAAATTATTTGTACCACAGCACTATTAATATACAGGTTAGCTCTTTTCTCTCTCGTCAAACAGTCCTTGATTTTTATTATGTTATTTGTATGTTAACCAGCTGGCACTGACTAACAGTGAGCTATATTAAGAGAAGATTCAAACATGCCAATTTATTAGGTACTGTATATTGAGAACAATCAGCAATTTACCATCAGGTCTTTATAGAAATTCCTTTGGTTTGTATTTTTTACCTTACTTATTGCAAATCCAAAGACTTCTTCAAAATAAGCAGGCTGACTTATGAGCAGCAAGTAGAAAGTCCAGCTTCTGCAAAAGTTTGCCACAATAATTGCATAAACTGGCATCGAAGTGAAAAACTGCTTCCAAGGGGTACTGAATCTCTAGAAGAAAGAATTCCAAAGCTTTAGAATGATGGAAGGGTAATGTTAGGCATCAATTTAGCGTTCAATTTGTCATTCATGTGCATTATTTGGAGGAAAGCATTTTCATTGTATAAAACAATATTTGAAAAACAAGCATGAATAAGTAACCTCTCCTTTTGTTATCTACAAAATGAAAAGGACAAGATTCTGCAGCAAATAGCATCAACCCCACAGTGTTCAGAATGTAATTACCATCCTGGGAATCCATTTGCGGCCCCTTTGTTGTTATCCTCAAGCAGAGTTTTGAAACCAGCAGGCAGGGTGACTTTAGACTTTGGCTCAGAGATGCAATTCCAATTCCACTACTAGCTGAAGGGCACCTGAAACTTCAGTAGTCCATGAAATCACAATTGGTGGAGAAGANAGACCAATAGGAAGCCAGTGCAGCTCGCGGAGGATAGGTGTGACTAAGTGTCCACACTGGATTTTATTTCTACTTCTCATTCAATCCTACTGATACTTGTAAGCTATTCCTATTATCAATTACTTCTCAGCTTTACAAAGATTGAAGTCAAGGTGAGCCTAGGTTATTTTGAAGATCAGTTTGAAAAAAATATAGTCATGATTACATTTGAAAAAGTAGAATGTGAACACAATATATTTGTTGTATATTCTATATTCTGTATTTTAAGTTTCCATTTGCTCAGGAGCAACATTTGATCAGACGGATTTGTTGTTATTTTGTGTTTATTCAAAACAGTTGTGTCAGCTTTGTCCTATTCCATGTTCAAAACCAGTTTAATCTGAACAGTGGGGAAGGGATAGTACTTTCCACTGCAACTGAGAGCAGCAAGCTATTTTGGAGATGCAATGTTCAGCTATATAGCATAGAGTGGTCTGCTACAGAGATCAGTCCTTCATATTTGCCATAATAAATTACGACTTTGTATTTTTTTTAATGGCAGGGCTGGTCATAAAAAGCAGGATATTATAGTTAATTTCCTTTTATTCATATCATTAACTCTCTGATCCTTTTTAAGCTTAGTTCTTATATACTATCTCTGCTATCAGAGATATTCCAGTGCCAGTTTGAGAAGTCAATTATTCATAGATAGAAGAAAGTGGGTATCTCAGTTTACCCAAGTCTTTTTTTTTTTTGTTAGATTCTTAGCACATTTGCAGGCAACAGGGAGAGTGGGAGATAGATCTGGATCTTAGGAATGGGGCACAAAATCAGCATATTTCTGAAGAATGGTATCATTAGCCTAGGTTTCTGTCACAGGGAATGGACTATAAATCTGAAATTTATAGCAGTATCTGAAACTAACAGTCTAATCTTCACATTTCTCAAGAAACAAATTCTGATATTTTCAAAAAATGATATAGAACATATATCATTATGTTCTATATCATTTTGGTTTGTATTTAGACATCTGGTAAATACAATTTTATATCCAGTTGTGAATTCTCTTTTTACGCTGTTGCTTTTTCTTGTTCTCATTTGAGACAATAAATATTCATACTGCGTGGTATTTTCTTCTCTTAATCCAACTGAATCTTGAATTGTACAATTCTGACCTATTTGTTTCCAAATTCTTAATGCTTTAGCCCCTGTCCCCAACCCACTTTTAAGTCTTTCAAATTAATTTAATTGAACTCACAACCTTGACAACATTCCTTCTCCTCTAAATACACACTTCAGTCTCATCTTGTTTTTAATCTTTCATCTTAGAAGATAGCTCTTTATTGTTTCTTATTGATTGCTACTTTTATGTTGGCACAATCCACTTGTCTCTTCTATTTTCTCTCTCATTTCTCATGGCAATGGTGACTATGCATTTGGGAAACAGCAATCCTATTCCAAATATTTAGAATGAGGCAGTTTTGAATTAAGATATGCTATTTTATAAGGCAGATGTTCAGTCTGATGAGAATAGGAAAATGGCAATTTAATTGAGGCTTCATTTTAAAACAATATTGTATTAGCAAAGAAGTACATTCCTAATGATGAAAAAGTCACTTGGAACATTTGAGTTTAGAAAAAAAGGTAACAGAGGAAAATTACAGAAAATTTATAAACTTATGTAGGATATTGAAAGAGAATACGGGAAAGTTTTCTCACTGAAAATACTAAAACCTGTGATTTTTCTATGAAACTGAAAGATGGAAGATTTCAGAAAAATAAAATGATTCTTCACACAGTAGTACTCACAATTAAGCTACATAATGATGCAATGATACTTTAATAAGTTCGCCACTATCTCAAAAAGTTTAAAATAATATCATAAATCTAATTATGCCCCCCCCCCGCTGCACATGATAATAAGGCTTACTCATTATAAGGAAATAGGCTCTCATTTTTATTAGAACATTTTTGAGGGTTTAAATGACTCAGTGCATGGTATTTAACATTTTTATTTTCTAATTATGATTGAAAACATACAACCCTACTTTTTCACTACCTATCCAGGATTTTTCTTGAAGAGAATGCACTTAATTACAATTTATTTTTAAACTAGAAATTACATAGGTTCTGATATATTTAATTTAAGTATTGACATGGAAAACATCTTTCAGTAAAAACACTTTTAATATAATAAAAGTAGTTCCAGACAAGTTTCATTATTATCCGAAGGGCATTTCATTCCCTTCTGAGGAAAATGAACTCCAATACTTTCAGTATCAAAGACCTCTCCAAAAATTAGTGGTATCCCCAAAGTATGGAAGAATATATAATTAGAGGTTATATCTCTATTGTCATATTTTCCTATACCTTAAATATTGTTAAAACAGAACAGGGCTCTCAATAAAATGCACAATGTAGCAGAATATCTTCACTTGCAATTTTACTGATAGTGGTAGCAGGAAAACAAAATAATCAGGTTAGAAGTCATGCAACATGCTTCCTGAACATCTCTCACAGATTATGAGGAAAATACTAAAACACCAAGTATTTCAGGTGTACTGCATGTAAATCCATTATAAGAGCTATAACAATCAGCACATTATTTTTTAAACAACAAAGTTCTGCAAATACATTGACTGCTTACATAATGTCGTGAATGGGAAAATAATATGTATAAACCCTTTGAGAGAAAAGCAAAGGGCACAAGAACACATTTGCTGTTTATATGGAGGGATAATTTAAAGCAACTGTTCCTTATAAGAAATGTATAAATATGTAATTCAGAAACAAAGAACACTATAAATACCCAAACTTTGTCCCTATCCCATGACTGAATTGCCAGTTATTACAGGTCGGTCTTGATTAGTGCTGTGAAATGATTGCATTATTTGAATTCAAATAATATTATATTATTTGATAATATAATAATAATAATAAAGTAACAATTTTATGGAAAATATGATAACTGGTTCCAGTTCCATGGAAATAGGCAATGAAAAATGTTTAACATAATGTTTCATATGTATGTTGCTAAAATAGTACAGTAATGGATAAAAAGAATATACTTATAATTTAAACGTAAGGTTAACAAAAGTCACAGGGTGGTTATCGAAAGCAATATAAAAACAAATTCTACTGCAGATTCAGGTATTAAAACATTTTTCGTATTTTAATATTGCTATGACCACCCTCATTATTTAAACTGGGAAGGCAACATGAGCAGAATATATATATATATGAAAACAGCACAAGTTTAAAAAAGAAGAGACTTGCATTGGAGCAAATATATATATATATATATATATATATATATATATATANTCCTCAAGCAGAGTTTTGAAACCAGCAGGCAGGGTGACTTTAGACTTTGGCTCAGAGATGCAATTCCAATTCCACTACTAGCTGAAGGGCACCTGAAACTTCAGTAGTCCATGAAATCACAATTGGTGGAGAAGAAAATGATAGAAGTATACCCTTTAAGGACTGATTTATAGTACAGCCCTATGCATACTGTATTTATGGAATTCAGATTTAATCCTTAAAAATAATCTGAATTTAATGCTAAAATGCAAATGTGACCCAAACTTTTTGTTTATACAAGGTGCCGGAGAACATTTTAAAAAGTTTATATTACAAGCTTAGAAACAAGACAAGAAGCATTGGTTCCCAACCTGTTTCATTTATACCAGGGGTGTCAAACTCAAGGTTAAATCTGCTTTAATCTGGCCCACAGGACCAGCCTGGAAATAGCAAAGGAGTGGCCCACAGTGCCTCTGTCAGTCAAAACAGCTCCCCTCCCATTCCCCATTTCGGCCTGCAGCACTCAAAACACCCCTGATTTATACCATATTATGATTTCAAAAGCCCAAGATGAGACATGGGAGACTGGGAACTGGGTCTACATCTCTTTCTCTCTCTTTGCAATTACATATTAAGACCATTTCTGTTGCTGAATCTAAAAATCACATCAGGCAAAATCTGAAATGTCTAACAAAAGGTTCAGGGTCAAAGCATAAAATAGGATATTAAATCAACAAGCACAGAACAAGAGACAACTGGATTTTTTTGTTATTCTTGGAAGATGTTTCACTTCTCATCCAAGAAGCTTCTTCAGTTCAAAGCGAAACATCTTCCAAGAATAACAAGAAAGTCCAGTTGCCTCTTAAAAAAGGGACAAGGATGACCTGGATGACTGAGAATCTCCAGAGACAACAAGCACAGAAGTTCAGTAGTAAGATTTTCTTGTGTTAAAACCTTCACAAACATTTAGTTACAGTAATTATCTGACAAAATACAGATTTGTAGTTAATTGATGTCCCAATGGTGCCTTTTCGAGAGGCAAGTAGACTTTCTGGTTTTTCTTTGAAGATGTTTTGTTTCTCATGCAAGAAGCTTTTTCAGCTCTTCAAGCTTCTTGGATGAGAAGTGAAACATCTCCAAAGAAAAATCAGAAAGCCCAGTTGCCTCTTGAAAAAGCACCTTTAGGACAACCATGATCTGGATGATTGAAAATCTTCATAGACATTTGTTAATTGATGGTTTCAACAGTAATTTATTTTGGTCAATAAATCATTTCCAAGAGAGGGAAAAACTATGAAAGCTACAAGTAACTTACACTGGTATTGATTAAGTTGGCTCCACCTATACTAGTTTCTATGTAAATTCTTTCCTCGGTGCTTATTGTTGGATGAACAGCTGGGCTCTCATATGCTTGCAGCAGCCAGAGCATATACCAGGTTATCCCAAACATTCCTTTAAATGTAGAATGAAACAGGATTTTGACAACCAGTTAAAAGTTTGAAAAAATATTTCAGCATTATTTCAACATGTATTACTTTATCTATGATATTTTTTCTTCACTGGGCAACTTACCATATGTATAGAAGACAGATGGCCATCCTATATATTGCACCAATACACCTGCAAGTGGCATGGCAACGACTGCCCCAGCATAGGAACCTGCAACAAAAGCCACATATATATGAGTCAACAGTTGTATTCCAACATAACTAACCCACTACATCACTAAAATAAATGTTCTGTTTGGAAAAATACTACATTGCTAACTAAAGATTTATAAGCCCAGAATTGCTTCAATAGTGAGATGGGATGCTTATAAATTTAATAAATAAAAGAATACACCCTATTTTGCAGAAAGAAAGATGAAAACTTTGTAGAAAACTGTTGGATTCATGGATTCTTATATTATGGAACACACTTGTTACTGCAGTTGTTAGTGTTGCTGAAATATAGATAACTGAGAATGCACTTTGAAATACTACAACCGATGTCTCCCAACATTCATCTAACACGGCCTCAGATTTTTTAAAAAAAAATATCCTCATTGTTTGTTTCTTGACTTCATTCAATTTAGGTACCAAACCATCCCTTGACAACTCACAGTATAGCAAAACAAGATAAAAGGACACAGTATAAAATAGGCAAATGGAATCTGTCCATATACAAAAAACAAATATAACTTCTAGTCCTAGAATTCTCAGGATTGTTGTTAATGTGTGAAATAACAACAAAAACAAAAAACAAAAACAACAACAGCCTGAGAAGAAAAGCAGAACAACCTCCTTTCATACTGTTGTGAATAGTATAGAACCAGGGAATCTTAGAGAACACCTGATACTTGAACTAAACACTGGCTGTTCAGATTGGGTAATGGGTGAATAAAGAACCTATTCCCTATTATGTGGAAGATTCCCTCCTACTATGAGGTTCAACAGGAGGAAATTGAGGCAGGCATTTTGGGAGGCTATTCCCTTTCTTTGAATGATCTTTTCCCTGATGCAAGGATTGCCTTTCGCCCCCTCCCCCCCAAAAGAATTTCTTAGGGCCTGCCAGAGAATAATTAAGACTTGGCTTTTCTAAGGACTTTTTGGTGATTTAAGCAGTCAAAGGAAGATCTGTGCCAATATTGTTTCTCATTCTATCTGGTTTTATTGTTTTCCATCCTATTTTTCCTTGTACTGTGCTTCGATATTGTACATGCCTAGAGCTTCTGGAGTGAGATCATTTATAAGTCTTATTAATAAAACAAAATTTCATAGTTATGTTCCTGGAATCATCATTGCTCAAAGGAGACTTTATTGAGCGAATGCTTTATTTGGAAAGATACACATCTGCCCCAAAAAAGGACAAAAGGGTGTGGATGTGGTAAAACTCAACCTGAAATGCCAGAAGGGGTTCACTGGAGGAATCTCAATAGTTTGTTTTATGGTAAATTTGTATGTGTACACATGCACAGACACACATACATATAAATATACTTGCCGTGCCCTTTATGTCTTCCATTATGAGAAGTGTTTATATATTACTCCCAAAATTTTAAGTGTGCCTTTTGGTCCTGAAAACTGAGAATGCCTTTTCTACAATATTATAACATGAACGAATTCAGGGCATTACTGCTGTAAGTAGTATTGTGTGATGATTTATAGGAAAATATGCTACTAGTAAATGGTTAAAAAAATTAATGGCATTTGGATCCTATTGAGAGCTCATAAAGACAAGCCATGAAATTCTATTTTGGCATTTACCAGTGTTGCTAATTAATTATTCTGGAAGATGCATAGACTCAGGTGTTCTTTTTTCCTCATTTGAAATTAGTTTATATTATTTAATAGACAGTTAACTTATGTGTGAACTATTGGGCATCTTGAAAACATTGGAACTCTTCTTGGAATAATTCATTAGCAAACAAGTTCAAAATATTTATCCAGATTGCATCTTAAACAAGCTTTCCCAACAATTCTTTTAAAACACTATTTGAATATATAATAAATTGCTTAATGGTTTTTAGGTAATTGTACTGACTTTGATCAACATTCAACTTGTCTGGAAATAAATCAGAACTTTTAAAGAATAATAAATGTTTGTTTAGAAAAGGCAGCCTAAACTCAGAAGAGGAATGAATTAATGATATCAATAAGTTATAGGATGGCTATAGAAGTTGGAATTAAGTTTGATTATTGATTAGGATATTCTCACAACACATGGAATCATGAACTAGCCAACTACATTAGCTTAGCATTTGGTAGTGTGAATTGAGCCTTGCAGTTACAACTGGCCCTGTGATGCAGCTGGAACAACCTGGAGCTGAACATTCTGTCAGGGTTCCAAATAGCATCCAAAAGTAAATCAGAATCCAAGACAAAGTATTGTTCAAAGTTCCAATTTCTTAAGAGAGCCATGTTGGCACATCTGGGAAAACCTGAATTGAAAAACTTCCCTGTTTTCCCCACCCATTGAAAGTTCAAAATCTTGCCCCCACACCCACAAGTCCATTACATGGTTCAATCTCCCACTGACATGCTGGCACTTCCACCCATCCAATTCCGGTCAGGTGCAGAGACAAAGGATGACCTTGGCTTTCTAGAAATAATTTTGTTGTGACTACATAGTATGTGACTCCTTACAATCCACACTCCCACAATAGAAAATGCATAGCAGAATAATAGAAAGTATGGCAGTCCAAAGACCCAAAATTAAAAATAGCTGTAGGCCTGACACATGCTTAAAACTGTAGAGGTGAGAGTGGATTTTAGGAGGAATCTTCCTTTTCTACCACCTCTTACTATAGTATTAGCAATAGAGTCTTCAAGTTCCATAATCTCCAAGGATATCCAACATTAGAACCATCATTTAAAAAGCACAACAAAGAACATTCTTCCTGCATCAACTCAGGAAGTTCAGACTGCCCCAGGGGCTGGTGATTCAGTTTTACAGAGGAATTATTGAATCTGTCATTTGTATTTCTTTAACTCTCTGATCTAGTATACCAACTAAACAGGTGACAGCACAGACTCCAACAGATAGTTAGGACTGCAGAAAAAAACGACTTCAATTAGCTTGCCTTCCATAGAAAATATGTATATTATGCGAGACAGAAGAAGGGCTGAGAAAACATCTACAGATCCCTCACATTCTGGACATAAACTGTTTCAACTCATCTCCTTGAGATGCCACTATAGGGCATTGCATGCTAAAACAAGGGACAGTTTTTCCCCTCATGCCATCACACTACCACACTACTGAACACCTACATCTCACAGTACTGTCTAATATATAGATATAGATATAGATAGGCATAGGCATAGGCATAGGCATAGGCATAGGCATAGGCATAGGCATAGACAGACAGACACAGACACACAGACACACACACAGACACACAGACACACAGACACACACACACACACACACACACACATATATATATCCCTATGTCAGGCCTGCAATTATATTCCTTTTAGAATTTTGGCCTGCCACACTTTCTCTTATTTCATTATGTTGTTTCTTTAGTATAGTTGATGGGAGGGGGGAATAGACAGGAGTGAGATTGTGGAATGTATTGTTTTCATTCTTTACTAGAAGCCAAGGTCATCCTTTGTCTCCGCAACAGTACACCTGACCGGAAGTAGCTGGGCGTGGATGCCAGCGTGGAAGAAGAAGATTGGACCATGTGATGGATTGTGGGTGTGGGGACAAGATCATGAACTTTTAACTGGGTGGAATTCTGATGTCATTTCCAGTATTGGGATCCATAGCATGATGCCAACATGTCTGCCTTATTAAATTGGAACCTTAAGGATAGATATGCCTTGGACTCTGATTTAATTCTGCATGATATTTGGAATGCTGACACCCTGTTGCATAGCTGTGGAATTACAATTATCCTTCTTATCTTCTTTACTACCCATTTGTATTATTATTATGATTATTATTACTCTGTTGCTTTGCATGTTCACTGAGAGCTTCTGCACAGAAGACAAATTCCTTGTATGTCTAATCCAAATAAAGTATTCTATTCTATTCTATTCCATTCCATTCATATTTCTGAATTTCAAAAATTGAGTTGAATATGCAGTACAAGTAAATAAGCAGTATAAGCAAAGTCACTATCTGGTTGATATTAGTAACTGGGTATATGTTAAAGAACCAAAAACCGAAGCATTAAAAGGGAAAAAAGACATTCTAGTTAAAATTGCCACAGAGCAGTGATGGTGAACCTTTTAGATATTGAGTGCCCAAACAGCGCACACATGCCCAAACTGAAAGGTGTATGCGTTTGTGCATATGTGCACATGTGCAGACATACGTGCATGCACATGTGCACATGCACAACACAGACGTGAATACCAGCTGGCCGGCGGGAGGTGGGGCATCCCAACACTAGCAACACGGCAAGAGGTAAGATCTTTTTCTTTCGTGAGCTTCTGTTTTGTTGTTTGCAGGGAAATAGAAGCTCATGAAAGAAACACCACGGAGATCTGACCTGGGGCAACGGGACGCGTGCCAGCAGAGAGGGCTCTGCGTGCCACCTCTGGCTGGTGTGCCATAGGTTTGTCATCACAGCCATAGAGAAAGTAGAAACCATATGTGCAAAAATCTATCATAAGATAAAAAACAATTTTACACCAGACACAAATAGCAAAAATATATGTCCTTCAGATATTAAGAAATTCAGATATTAAGAAAGTTTTTTGGCAACTAAATCCTCAAATGAAAAATAAGTGAATACCTATTGTTTTATAATCAGCATAGTATTTTTCATTAAACCCATCATTCAGGCATTTTCTCAAAACAAAAGAAGAAAAATCAACATACCACAAAATGAAATAGTTGCCAGCCTGCTTCTTTCCAGTGGAGGAGCCCATTTACTCCACATCCCATGGCATGCTGGATAAGTCACCCCCTAGCAAATTTTGCACAGCATTAAATGTTTACATTTAAAATTTTCATTTGTGCTCACATTTTTATTACATGCAAGTAACTGAACTTATGGTTTTAGACAGGAATCATCTGCAAAAGAAAGTCATCTCACTTAACACTAAGGGATTGACTTCAAATGTGTGTTTTCTTCAATAGGAGCCTACTTGTTATTAGTTGAAGCTGAAATTATTAGTTGAAATTGCACTTCTCACTTCTCGGAGTTCACATGACTGGAAATTAAACTTCAATTCATTTTGTTTTTTTGCAATTTTACAATTATAGCATATTTCCAAAGGCCCCAGCCAGCTCGGATGCTTTAGTCAAAATGATGAAACCATTATTGTGTTGCTGCGTATGAGCTTTGCTGCGTATGAGCTTCCCCTTCTATGTGTGTGAACACACACACTTTGTGTGTACCAGGGGTGGGTTGCTGCAGGCATTGCTGTCAGTTTGGTGTGTGCATAATTTTGCTCACAGCTGATTTGTGTGATTGTCGGCACCTTTTTTTTCCACCTTTTAAAGCATTTTTTCCCTATCTATTCGCCGGAACCGGCAGGAAAAAAATGCTTTAAAAAGTGAAAAAAAGTTGGCCACGCCCACCCAGTCACATGACACACACACACACACACCGAACCGGTGGCAAAATAATTTAGATTTCACCACTGCAGTAGACAGTTGCAAATTTGAGGTAACTACAAGATTCATTTTTAACATACAGTAATTGCAAAATATTTACTTCCCCTTGAATGATGCAAACATTTTTTACATTTTTGTATTGCTAACATGCAATTAATGAAAACTTAATAACTGGTTCAAATAACTTCTACATTGGTACTTACCTCCACAAGGCCTTGCAAAATTCTTACAAACATAACACACCCATAATGTACTCTGGCAGCTGAAGGAATGAACATGTTTAGAGTTGAAGTTAGGAAAATTGCTGCTCCAAATACCCTAAAAAAAGGAGAAATATAATTTCCCCCTATAATTTCATATTGCCATAATGCCATGATACTATATATTGAACTGAGAAAAGCTTGCCTAAACAAAAGTTCAAATTATCTAGAAATCATTTTTTTAAAAGGACAAACTAAACTTTCATTGAAGACTTTATATTCTAGAATTGCACATAGTCAGCTCATATCAGCTGAGCAATTTAGCTGAGCACAGACTAAAATGTATGATTATAGTTCTTTGTATTGTGAATATTTTTATAAATGTTACCCTTAAAAACTTTTTAGTTCATACCTTTCTTTACTAAGTTCTTCTGAAATCAACATCATTATTTTTATTTCAGAACACAAAGATAATCTGACAAGCTTTAATTAATAGCAGTATCTATCAGTGAAACTTGTAGCAGTTGTATTTTCACAGCAATGAACCATTTTTGTGCCTCATTATATTAAATGCATTTTAATATTAACTATTGATATGAATAGACTAGACTAGATTAGACTAAACTAGTCTAGAACAGAACAGAACAGAATAGAATATAGAATGGAATTTGGTATATAAGCTCGTAATGTGCATACAAACAACAAAGTAATATAATCATAAGATACCAATAGTAGAAGTCATTTAAATACACAAGTGATTATACATAGTTAAAAATGTTGCATTCGAGAAAAGTAACACTATTTTTATACATATTTATTACATCATGTGTTTTTCTAAATTCTGTATTGCATTATATTATATGAGTATATTACCTGTTAGCTGCTAGTTTATTTGCAATGAAGCCTCCTGGAATTTGCGTAACAATATAACCCCAAAAAAATGACCCATGAATGAGTCCTACTATTTCTGGATCCCAGCTGAATTGTGCTTTCTACAAATAAAACAATATTAAATAGTAACACATAGTAGCATCTTGTTGTAAAATATGTTTTACTGCAAAATCCAGATATTGCGGTTATCAGTAATCAATATTTGTATTTTTATTCCTCTAAAAGCTGTAAACACAAACTTATTTGATGGAAGGGGAAAATTTTCTCAGTTATTTTTTATTAATTAAACTGTACTTAAATTATATATTGTATGTTTAGAGTATTAAATAAAATTGTTTAATTAATTAGTTAATTAATCAGCTAGCATGTTCTCACATTGATGGACAATACAAATTTTATTTTACACCTGAGTGTTTGAAAGCCTTTGGTGATATACTTACTGCCCACAATCGTATTTCAAAAACATGAAAGAAAAATATCTGAGGCATTGTTATTGCAGCTATTCACCTAGCTGAATAATGCCTTTGCTCAAATTACAGGTATCTTCCCCACTTATGCTACAGTTGTCCTTGATTTAGTGCATTTTTGTTAATGTATTTTCATTCAGATTGTAATCTGTAGAATAGTTTAAGGGCACCTTTCAACTGGAGACCATTACATGTTATAATTGGTTTATTGACAGAACTTGCTTAGGCAAAACAAGTCTAAAAAGGAGATGGGGTTACAGTCCCTCTTTATAGATTTATGTACATTGGAATATATCCAGGTATTTTATTGGATATGACACGTCATGCACCTAGTGAAGACAGTGAAACCTGTAAGGTGATATGTCAATTCAATGGGGTTTTGAAAGAACAGGAAGGCTGTTATGCCATGAATATAATTTCTTTCCAGGGTGCTACTTTCTTTCATTTTCCTTGTCCCCCAGTATCTTTTCCCAGAGAATCATGTCCTCTTGGCCTTCTAAATGTTTGGTGGCTAAACTAACAGTTTTAGTTTCCAGAGAAGGCATAATAGGATTAGGAGCTTTTAATTTGGCCTCAAGAATTCTTCAATTCAAGATATTGCTTTTGGTTTAAATTTCAATTTTTACTGTGCAGTAAGTGCTTTACGATGCTCTTTGGCCCATCTAGGACTATTTACTATCTGTCAGCATGATGTTATTATAAAATCTGACTATTGGCATAGGAGGAGAAATACATATGCCACCTTGAGTTCCTTGGAGGGAAAACAGGGTGTACATCTAATGAAGAATCACAATGGTAGTTAAAACATAATACTTCATAAATGCAACTAAATGTTTAATAGAAAGCCAGTTTGGTATAGTGGTGAAGGAATTAGGCTAGAACCTAGGAGACAATGAATTCTAGTCCCATTTTAGGCACAAAAGTGGGGCAGCCACTCTCTCTCAGCCCTAGGAAGAAGGCAATAGCAGACTACTTCTGAAAAACTTTGCCAAGAAAACTTCAGGGATTGTCCAGGCACTTGTCAGAAGTCAATACTGACTGGGAAGCACAAATGCTCACACACATGCACACAGACAAGTTTTAATATCACCATATCTCTCTATAGCACAAGTAGAAAACACTTTCTAGTAAGAGAAATAAACTTAGTACAATATATATCTCATGAGCCAAAATGTCTGTCTGAGACTTTGGAGAACTGATCTAGAACATTCTGTTCTATATCAATTACAAAGACCTTTAGAATCTTACACTATCTGAATAGCTGCTAATGCCAGCATCTATTGTGGGGGGAAAAATAAAGAAAATAAACTTTTAAATCTGATTTCTGGAGTATTATAAGGCATCATTTTTCTGTGTTAAAATAATATATTCTTCTACCTACCTCAGTCTCTGGTTTTCCATTGATGTAGACGGTGTTGTTATTAACCATTTCCACAATAGCAACACCAAGATTGCATCTAATTCCAAAAGAAATGCAAAATCCCAGACCACTCATCATAGCAATAATATAGCGCTTAGGTAATCCACAGCAATAGCAATCAAATAAAGGCGGTTTGGTTGTTGCTTGCACAGGTCTTCCTTCTTCATTCAGCTCTATGGCATCTCTTTCACAGTTGGTTCCATCTATTTTTCTAAAGCCATGTAAAACAGAGGCAAAGTGCGTTCAGAGAAAAATATACTCTCAGAAGTTACTGATATGCACTTAAAATAACTAAATTAACTGTTCCTAATAAATTATGTTTAAATAGCATGGAAAGAAAGAAGGAGCCACAGGGTTTATAGAGTACCCATTTGCAATTTGATACCCCAAATTACTGAAATTGTAATTCATTTTCTCTGAATGACCCATAGAATATTATGGAAATCTAATATAGTGACAATAGAATTTCAGATGATGCAATTGCAAATCTAGTTTATCAAACCATCAATCAGACAGTCACAGAATAAAAACTGCAATGTTAGCAAGTGAGTCCTAAGTGTACTTATTTTGTTTACAAAATGTGTTATAATGTGATATTCCTGAAAACATTTATTGTCCCGTCCCCCCAACTGTTCAAAAAAATCATAGACTCTTCTAAGCTTTTTTGTTCAGTAATAGCTTGAAGCTTTCCACGTCCATTTTAAATTGAAGGCTTGTATAATAGAGCATGGAGAATAAGATTCCCGAACAGAATCCATTGCTTGCCATTCTTTTGCAGAAATTTATGTAGAGGTGCCTTAAAGAACTTATAGAATAAAAAGCAATATAGATCTTATTAGCAAGTCTATTATTTGGAAGTATGTTTGATCTTTGGATCTTAGGAACTTACATATAACTTTGATAAGGATTGTATTTTCTGTAACTCTCATTAAGCTTATCAGATTTGGCTTATTTTTTTTTAACCTAAAAATAAGCTACATTGTCAGAAAACCTGACAGTTCTTAAATAGTTAAAAATTCTAGAAAGAACTGTATTTCCTACACGCCATTAAGAATTACACTAGTGACAATAGTTCAAATTAGAATTATGCTTTGGTAAAATAATACTATAAATGTTTTTTTGTATTCTGAGCATCTTATGTGGTACCTTGATTTTTGTATTGGATTATGTTTAACTATATTTTCTGCTTTGTTTATAAAAAAATTCATATTGTTTTTCTTGTGAGCTGGTTTCCTAGGTGCTTAGAGTTATGCATTTAATATGGCTGGCCAAATAAAATTTCTAAATAAATAAATAAATAAACAAGGAATGCAAAGCCGTAAGAAATTTCAGAGTCAAATCCAGGGGAGGGCAAGAAGGGCAAATGATGAAATGTGAGTTGTGCTATCACTGTGCAAGGCCATGACTAAGGACACAAGTAAGGACACAAGTACAACTGGTGTTTGCACTGTGATATCGCAATACACATTTGTTAGTTTTTTCATTTCAATTTGTACCAGAAACTTTTGTAGGTTTTCAAGAACAGATTGTGGTGCATGTTTCATATAGAGATTTTCCATTTTAGGGAAAGGAAGAGTTTATTCCTTTAAAGTTTTTTTTACTAATAATGGACAAAAACCTCTCATAACATGTACATTTATGTGCTGTTTTCTGTTTATTCCAGGAGAGTAAAATATATTAATCATTATATCTTTTTCACTTTTACTCATATTACTTATATTTACAGTAAAATAAAATGCAATATCATTACCAGCAGTAATTCTTAAAATAATAAATGTTTTTATCTGCTTTACATCCAAGGAATTGCTATAAGAGAATAATGAATGGTTATCCTTCCAAGCCCAATGTTATATGCCTGGGCATTTAATGTAAATCCACATAGCATCATAAATGAAATAACAGAATAACATAGTTGGAAAGAACCTTGGAGGTCTTCCTACTCCAACCACCTCCTTAAGCAGGAGATCTTATACCATTTCATACAAGTAGTTGCCCAATCACTTCTTAAAAGCCTCCAGTGATGGAGCGTCCAAAACGTAAGATTCCACTGATTAATTGTTCTGTCAGGAAATTTCCCCTTATTTCTAGGTTGGTTCTCTCCTTGATTAAATTCTATCCTCTTCTTTGTAGCAGCCCCTTAATTATTGGAACATTGTTATCATGTTACCCACTAGTCCTTCTCTTCATTAGACTAGATATACTCAATTCCTGCAACTGTTCTTCATGTTTTACCTTCCAATCCCCTAATAATCTTTGTCTGCACTCTTTCTGGTTTCGACATCTTTATTATATCATAGCGACCAAAATTGGATGTAATATTCTAAGTATGGTCTTACCAAGGCATTATAAATTGGTACTCACATGACTTTGATTCTATCTCTCTGTTAGGACTGTGTCAACTTTTTTGGCAACAGCAGCACACTGCTGGCTCATATTTAAGTCACTGTCCACTAGGATTGTCCTAGATCACTCTCACAGTTACTGCTACTGAGCCAGGAACTAGCTATTCTATAACTACATTTTGTTGTTCTTGCTTAAACGTAGAACCTTACTTTTCTCACCATTGAATTTAATTTTGTTCGATAGGGCCCAGTGTTCAAGCCTGTTGAGATCCTTCCAGATCTTGAGCCTATCTTCTGGAGTTTTGGCTATTCCTGCCAACTTGGTTCCATCTGCAAATTTATTCTTCATTACACAAGGAACTTCTCAGCTTTAGAGGCCAGAATTTCCAGTCCTAATTGCACTACTAGATATCTTTACTACTGTTGTTTGCCAGTCAATGTTTAAATGTAAAAGCAGGGAGGGACAGAGAGGAAGGGACAGAACAAAATAAGTAAATCCCACTCTGTGTGTGTGTGTGTATTATAACATTGCTCTTTCACTCAGTGTTTTAAAAGTTCAATAAACAATATACTATTTTTACTACCCATATTAATCCAAACTGTTTAGAAGAAACATTGGATGGGAAGGGGAGCTGGTTTCAAAGGTTTAATTCCTAATCCAACTGAAAAAAGGGAGTGATGTGGATAAGGTAAAAGGATAGATTGATAAGAAAATGTTGAAAAACTCCGATTATAGCATATACTTCAGATAAACAGAATCATTCTGAAAAAAAAACACGAGAAAGGACATTGCTACTTTTCCTAATTTATATAGCAGAAAGGCTGAAAAACTGAATTTTGCTTAACTTAAAATGATATTTTTTCCCCCAAAACTCTACTTTGTCTCATTCAGTTTGAAATGTGAAAGGAGTCTTCTTTTAGAAATGTTTTGGTTCACTAGAAAATTTTAGGTGATTGTGAATATTTTGCAATCAATTGTTTTTCTTTTTTAAATAAATGCCTTTCTTCTTCTTCTTCTTCTTTTTAAAATGAGGTTTATGAGACAAAATTAAGTTTCCAGGGGTCCAAAAGGACTCTCAATATCTGGCTCGGATGACATACAGTATTGAGTCTATTACTCTGACAGTTTCTGTTGATTGTTTCCTATTGTGATATAGATATTTCTTCTTAACATACCTGTCACATTATTTAACAGAAGCATAGAAATCAGAGCTCCAACCCAGGCAGCTATCAATCTAGTCCATATTCAAAAAAGAAATGCTCTATATGTCTAATTCCAGAGCCCTTTCTTGTGGGGATGCACCTGTCCTATGCCTCACTCACGGAAGAACCTCAATTAAAGATATTGTTCATTATTTGAAATTATCAGACAGATCAACATTTTTAATTCTAGCAGTAAAACTAATCTGTTTCAATATAGTCCCAAAGGTAATTTTAGTAATTTAGGTTTCCATACACAGAGTTGAAGTCAAGTTATTGGAAGGAGACTCAAAAGGACATTTTATTTATAAAACTCCCATAGTTCTAAAAAAACATTTGAATATTCTTAATTTAAAAAGACAGCTACAGCTTTATTAATTTCTCATCAATATTGGACAGTATCATTTATTTCATTTAATCATAATAATTCTAAACCATTCCGGCAATATAGTGCTTCAACAAATAATATTAATATTTTGTAAATAATATTAAATAAATATTAGATGCATGGTTTTAAAATATTGCATGTCTGGTGGGTCGTCACTCATTACAGAGTTTACTAAATATGTTATGCAAAGGTGGTCTTTGTGTTAAATTATTCGAGATGGTCTCTTAGAGCAATGCTTCATGTGTGGGGTTTTTTTTGTAGAGGGGCAGCAAGTTGGGGAATCTATCTTATCATATTTCTATTTTTATATCATAAGAAAAAGAGTTTAAAGAAAAAGAAGCAAGTTGAAGATTTTGGCAAGCTGTTTGGCATTACAGTATCAACATTGTAACAACTCACCAGGATTCAATAAATTGCAAATGGATATATATATATGGAAAATAATTCATATGCTTCCTGAACGGAATTGAAATAGAATTTAGAAAATAATTCTGTGATAAAAAAAAAAAAACTTCCTACTTTTGCAAGAATGCCAAAAGCCTTGGGTCTAATCTATGTACAACTGAAATTATTTGTTGATATTTGTAGATATATCTTCATTTAAATGAAACAATAAATAACACACTCCGAGACGGTTAATATTAACAATAGCAGCAACCTAAAACTTTGGAAAAAAATATGAAGAAATATCAGCATTGGGATAATAAATATGAAAATGGCTTTTAAATTTTCAAGAATTAAAAATAATTTGCCCAGGAAACATAGAAAAACATTTATGCTTTGTGCTCAAATTTAAATTTCAAAATGTCTCCCTCATTAAACCTGCTTTGCCTCTTTGTGACTCCACAATACGTCCATGTAGTTTTCTTGACCACATTGCATAAATGGTTTGCCATTGCTTTCCTTTGGGAGAAGTTGTTATTGTTATGGTTATGACTTCATAATATAAACTCTCATTCTGCTATTTTTCTGGAGATCTCTCACATAAACTGTTTAGCTTTTTGAAAATAGCCAAGTCAAATGAATGTGTACATTACAGACAAAATAAGGAGATGAATAGTTTAGTCCTGATAAAGAAAGAAAGCATGGATCAAAATAATTATTCAGGAGAATACAAAAAAACAACAACACAGAAAAGTTGTTTTTCTGCAGTTAGTATCTGCAGTTAGTAGTGTAACTTAATTTCATGGATGTTTATATAGAGAAATACCTTCTTACTTTGAGAGATATTTAATTGTGGTTAAGGACATTTGATAGCAGTTTTGATTGTAGGGCAATTATATATAATAGTATTTTACATTGTAACAATAATTCATTACTCCTGTTCATGCTTTTGTAAAATATTGAAAAATGAACAGAAAATGTTTTGTATAGGACAGCACATCAGTGACAATGCTGCTTTCAGAAAATGAATAACACAAAACATGCCAATTAGACATTGTAGGCATTATTTTCTCCATGTAAAAAGTTTACTGTTTGTATTAAAATTAGTTTCCATAGGAATGTAATAAAATATTCTTTTTAACATACAAGACTTCTAACTTTTGCTATGACAATTTAACACAGTTCTTTTCTAAAATGTATTATGAACTTTATACTTTAAAATATATTAGAATGAGTAAGTAAAAAAGCACATATTTAAATTCTGACATAAAGTACAAAGATAAGCACATATTTGTGGATTTAAGAGTCTTTAATCATAATGAAGATGAAACACAATTGCTGTTCATACTCACAGTAGTGTAGCTAAAAATATTTCATGATTTTAGCTGTACTAATTTAAAACTACAAAAATAATTTTGTTTTATCAATAACATTAAGGATGCCTAAAATAATGTTTCCCCTCTCAGCTGATTTAGTAGGACACAGCTAATAAGTGATTGTCCTTACTTTTAGTTAAGATATATCCTTGTATATCCTGTTTTATTCATTTGTTCTTACATATTTCACTTACATATTTCACTTCATAATTTTACTATAATCTGTGTAGAAGTTAACAGTACATGAAACTGTTACCTTTGCAAGTGTCCTAGAGAGTCACTTAGTGTATTCTTCACCTCTTCCTTCCCAGGCTTTAAAAGTCTCTCTTTTAATGAATTTAATACTTCAAAAGGCATCTTCTTTCTTAGATAAATCCTTTTATGTAAAATAGACTTGTCGTCATCATCAATTTTTTTATCAATTCTAATAGTCTTTTTCCCCCTGTTCTGTTCTTTTTCTCTTTCTTCCTCGAGAGAGTGATCTGGCAGGTTAATCTTCCAAATGAAATAACCACACCGAAATTATCAGTAGATTCTCCCAAAGGCTGTCAATAATTCTGTGTAAATTGCAGGAGGTCTGTTTGCATCTCTTGTTATTCTGCAGTCTTCAAAGGAATAGACCTGAAAATAATACTGGACCTGATGTTAAGCTTATGCATCTGACTAAAGCACATTATAACATGCTGCTCATCCTCTTTCTAGGCTTTCTTCACACATGTGCTCAGTGATGCTATAGTAACGAACACAATACTGTCTCTCTGGCCATTTGAGCTTCTCCCTAGCAAACTTTATTAAACATTTATGCATTCTCTCTCCCAATTTCAAACCATGGCTTTTGCTCTTATTTTGTTCTCCATTTTCCTGCTGAACCTCAAATAACAATATTGCCTGATGCACAGAGAGACAGACAGAGAAATAGACAGATGGACACACACACACACACACAAACACACACACACACACACACACACACTGACATTCCACTTGTGAGTGATCTCATTAATATTTCCCTAATACAGAATCACTATATACTGTGCAAATGGTATTGAATACAAACTAGGTCGCGCTGGAAGTTAGTGGAGAAGAAAGGAAGAAACTGATATTGAGTTACATTGAGATTTAAGTGCTTCCAAACTGAGTTGGCATAAACAGATTGCTCAATTCTATCTTCTTTGTAAAACCACACACACACACAGACACACACACACACACACACACACAGAGTCTCTATCAGACTTTCTCATTTTGTTTAAATAATTATACCAGTTAACATAATTTTAATGAAATGTGACTTTAGTAGATGTATAGAAAATACAATGATTCAGATATTACAGTAATATTGTACCAGGGTCCAAGTGTTCTCTCTGCATGAGTAATTATAGCCTATAGTTAGAATTTATATTTATTATTGTTGTGAATATGACAATTTGAAATGTATTACACATGGAGAAACTGAAATAAGAAAATGAAGGTATGTCAGTATAAGCACTAACATGGTTAATAAACTAAAAGCTAGGATTCTATTTAATAGAAACTTTAAAGGAAGAGTATAATCCAGTGATACCATTGCAATCTCTTGTTTTCCTCTCCCAAACTATATTAGAACTTTCTGAACAGTTTAGATAACCTCTATAGTAAGGTGACCAGACGTCCTGCTTTTGGCGGGATAGTCACGATTTTTAATAATTTGTCCCGCGTCCCGGGGCATTTTTAAAAAGTCCGATTTTTGTAGAAAGGGTGCCNAATGGGTCCATCAGGCGCCTAGGGTGGGACCATTTAATCGGCTCCACCTCCCTGCAGTGGGGGAGTAGTTTCTGAAAATCAAGCCTCAGTAGGAAGTGATCTGACCATGACAAGGGCGAGATCTCTATGCCCTTCAGTTCCAGATCACATCTCCACTGCCCCGAGAGAAACACAAGGTCAAGAGTGTGTCCCGCTGTATGAGTCGGACCTTGAATTACCTGGGTCATGTCCATGGCTGTCATGGAAGCCATGAACTCCTGTGCCCCATCAGAGTGTTCGCCAAGAGATGGCAGGTTAAAGTCCCCCAGTACTATAAGTCTGGGGAATTCAACCGCCTGTCCGGCTACTGACTCCAGGAGCGAAAGCAGGGCTGTTGTAACGCAGCTGGGAGGTAGATACGTTAACAACAAGGCCACTTGACCCCAAAGGTCTAGCTTCACAAGCAGAGACTCACACCTGACAGTCTCCGGAGCAGGGATCCCACGAGATGCTAATGATTTCCGGATGACAACTGCCACTCCCCCACCCCTTTTTCTGGTGTCGTGTTTGGTGCAGCACCTGAAACGCTTCTGGGCACATTTGTGAGAGGGGGACTCCTCCCTCATGGCCCAGCCAGGTCTCAGTAATATATGCCAGATCTGCCCCCTCGTCTAATATTAAGTCCCGGATGAGGATTTACTGGCATTTAGCAGCAGCAACCTGAGGCCAGGGCCCTGGCTTCTCTTGCCACCAGGATGGTTCCAATTTTCCTTATTGGTTTCCCCTCACACTTTGCTGCTTCCCTACATTGGAGATGCTATTGCCACTGCCTATAGAATGGGTTTGATGCAAGTAGTAATTGTAGAAAGCTTTGAAAAACATAACATCATTTCTGCGGAATTTAGGTTGAATAACCATCACACTGTGCCTCTCAGCCTCTTTGTCCCATTTTTGTTAATAGGAAGATGAAAAGTCATCTATTTCCTGGTGAGAAAATTATCAGCTGAATCCACTCCATTCCATGATAGTTCAATGATATTACAAAAAACAAAGACATTTCCAAAAGAATCATCATTGTACAATTTTATTAACTCTACTGGATTCAGGACTGATTTCTGGGACAAGGGCTGCCCCAACTATTCATCTAGATTGTGTTCTAGATGTACAGTAATACATGTTATCAGAAGCCAGCTTGGTTTATTCAGTGAAACTAGGCCTTTTTTCCCTAAAAAAAACTTCAATGATTTAGATTGGCTTTTTCTCCTTGTATGTCTTGCAAAGGCAACATGGAACAGAACCGACGTCATGTCAGTACAAGTATGTCATTGTACTGTTTATGTAAATGGGGTCATTTTCACTATTTGGTGCAGTAAACACTAGCAATAGAATTTGCTGCCAACAATCAGGGTCTGCATTTTACTGACCTCAGAAGGATGGAAGGCTGAGTCAACCTTAAACTGGTCAGGATCAAACTCAAGGCTGTGGGCAGAGTTTCCTGCCATATTGCATTCTAACCACTGCACCACCAGAACTTAAGCACTAGGTTTTCCTCTGCTGGGACCAGAGGTGGGTTTCTACCTGTTCAACCCGGTTTGGCTGAACCGGTAGTGGTATGCCAGCCTGGGTCACAGAGCCAGCACCAACCCAGGCTGGCCACGCCCCCGAACTGGTTTCATGGTCACTGTCATTGCCATCTTTTTTTTTAGTTCTGAGCATGCACAGAACAATTTCTATTGAATTGCGCATGCGCTTGCCGCACACATCCAGTGCATGCGCACGAGTGAACCAGCAATAACTCCAGCTGAAACCCACTCCTGGCTGGGACTACATTTTGTTTCTTTTTTAGAAAGAAGGAAAGAATAACTTGTTGCTTGCTGAAAAAATACAACTCTTTAAAAGCTGTTACTAGACAACCTTTCAGCTTGGGTGGGATACTGCACTTGAACTCATAGTTATGCAAAAACAAACTCTGAATTCAAACTTGAGCTAAAGGCATTATTAGGTAAAGATTGTGCACATATTGATGAGGAACCTGCATATGGTAAAAAGGTTATATGAAGGCAAATTGAATTGGACAAACTGAATCGTCTTTGGTCAAGATACAAGGGAAGAGAAGCTAATGATTTATAGGGTGAAATACTTCAGAAAACTCTCTATGGTAAAGCAAATTGGGTCATTTGGAGTAGATTTATTAAACATCAATAAATACCAATGGAGTTTTGCAGTGATAACTACTGATAGCCCTGAGCCATAACATTATTAAGCTGCAGATGGCAATCAGAAATCCTACAGAAGGTTATCACAAGTGCAGCTATTTAGGTATTTCTAATGACAGTAAATGTACTGTATAAATATATGATTAAAATTTCACATATCAGGGTGAATGCCTTTATTTTTTTTAATGGAGAGGCATGGATGATCTCAAGATCCTTTGAGGACTGTTGTCTTAACATTCATTCCATTCATTGCAGCATGAACTAATTAGGAGATTTGTTTGGAATGGACTGGTCATGGAAGAAGGACACAAGAATTACCCACTCTTAGATGGAAACAAATAAAAAAGCAAAAAGTCTATGGTATATGTACCATATAGCTGCTAGCTGATTCTTTCAATGTGCAATAGATACAAAGACACCAAAAAAGGTGTCTGGTCAATGCACATTATTTGAGTATTTACTATGTAAGTAGTAGGTGGCATAGTGGTTAGACTGCATTATTGCATTCTGCTGACTGCCAAGGGTTCGATCCTCACCGGTTCAAGGTTGACTCATCTTCCATCCTTCCGAGATGGTAAAATGAGGATCCAGATTGATATATGTTTAAGGTGACCAGATGTCTCGCTTTTGGCGGGACAGTCACGATTTTTAATAATTTGTCCCACATCCCGGGGCATTTTTAAAAAGTCCTGATTTTTGTAGAAAGGGTGCCCCGCCCCTTTTTTTGCTCCACCACATGGCTTCCTCTTGCAAACATTTTCACTCATTTTTCCAGGTCTATCTTTGTCTATAGACTAGTGGCTGTGCTCTGGGAGGGCAGCCTGCGGGGCTGGAGGCTGC